AGAGAAAAAGCAACCAACAGAATTGGAGAAAATATTTGTAAACCGTATATCTGATAAAGGATTAATGTCTAAACTATACAAAGGTCCAGCATCATATGCAGGGGTAGCAGACTTTCATGGACTACTTAACTAGTTCCCGCAACTACACAATGTCTAATCCCTTGTAATAAGTCTCTTTACATCACATATTGGTTTTGTGTCTCTAATAAAACTCTAACTATTATATGATGACAGGACAGATCAAACTTGAACAATAAAGTGAACCTGAATATGGAATTTAGTGCTGAGATTCACAGAGAAAGATAAAGGGATCCTGAGACCTAAGGACTTCGTGGAACCATAATACCAGCCCTCATCTGCCTAGTTCTGGGCTTAATTTACATGATATAGTAAATCGGTTTTATTTGAGGTTTCTGTTACATGCAGAACTGAGATCTAAGTGTTAGATGCTAACTTAAATTATTCATTGGTGGGATTTGCTTGAAGTGCTGAGAATAATAAAAATATCTGAGAAGAATTTTATAAGAATTCAAAGGTCATGTATTGGTTCATAGGGAAAAAACTTTACTATCAATCAATTAAATTTGCCAGCGAGATTCACTAGGTAGGAGAGTGATGGAACTTTTACCTAGTCTCTGCCATTCTTTCCCTTGTGGAAGATGTTGAGGCCAGTTATACAAAGAGCCATTGCAAATCTTCCATTCTTCCCACTTTCTTAATTGGTTAGTAGTTTCTCTTTTCCAAGTCATGAGGATAAATTTAATATATGCCTTCTTTGTCCCAAAATCTAATGAAACTAGGTTTGAATAACCTTGCTTTGTTTCCCAAGCCATTAAAGATGGAGTAGGCTGAAGATTTCTGAACCTTAGTGTCTATTGAGTCTGGATTTAAATAATAAAGTCCCTAAATCATAGGAGAAAATATCTTCTGAGATATTCTGTATGAGATTCAAATAATGGAAGATATAGTATCATTTTTGGGATAAAAGCTTAAAATAAAATTAATTGGAAATCTTGGATTAAAATTCTGTAATAGATTGCCTTTTCTAGAATTATGTAGTACTTCCCCACGGTGTGCTAATATTGAAACACTACGTGTAATTTGTGTGTTTGAAGTTAGGTGATAGATATTACACTGCAAATTCTAGAAGGTTTTCAAATTTTTTATTGTTTTTCCAGCTCTTTTGATGGATTTGAAAATTGTATGTGTAGATGTTGGAGTAGTACAACTGGGCTGATATTCTGGTCTGTTCATTTACTATTTGTGTAACTTTGGACAAGATGTTTCATCTCTCTTAGCATTATCCTCTACAAGAGGATTATTAGCACTGTCCTGTGCAAAATGAAGATAATAATACCACATAGAGTTGTTGTGAGAATTAAGTAAGGTAAGGCATGAACAATATGTGGGACAAAATAGGCATTCAGTAGATGCTGGTCTCTCCTATTTGCTTTATCCTAAAATAAGCAGTAATCTGAGAATACTCCTACCCCATTGCTTCTTTTAAGAACAAAGCCAATTTCAATAAAATGGATGTATTCCACTGAGGAAAAAATTTACATTTATCTTTATTATTGCTTCTGTTTCATCGATAAGAAAATGGGATATCACGTGAGTTCAGTTTTCTCTATTATATGGTCACCTAATAACACTGGTGACAATTTATTGGACACCTTAGTAACCTACCCAGGTAATCACAATCATCTTATAAGTATTGATTTCCTTAGCTTTGTATAAAACCTCTTATATCTTCCAGTGTCTCCACTAGATTGCTCTTTTATGGAGAAGTAACATTTTGCCATGAGAGGCATGTAAAATATTTAACTCCTTACCATTTTTTTTTTTTTGTCAAAGGTCAGGCTTTAATGAGATGGATTACTTCAGGGCCTGGAGCGTATTTTTGCAGTGACTGTGTAGCTGTCAAAACCTTTATAGTAACAGAGAAATTATTGACTTTTCTCAGCTTAGGAATGACCAGCGAACAAAAGGATGATTGAGCCCACAGCAAGTGTTTGTTAAAAGTCCTTATGACCTTGGCATTACCTCATTTGCAGGGAGAAAAAAAATCCAAAATTAATTTCCTAGAGGAGAAGGGAGCTCTATATTGCTTTTTATAAGATGTCATCAGGGACAGAGATATGGGGTTAATATTGGGAAACAGTGAAAGATAATGTGAGAAAGTTGGGTTGGGATTGGCTTGGTGATGCTAGACAAAAAATTGAGTGTAATGCAAAAAACATTCATTGAGGATATTTTTCATGTAAGATTATGGTCAAGATAGATTGTACAGAGAGAGTTAAGATTAGAAAGACTAATGCCCCAGGAGTTTAGACAAGTGAAAGAAGGAAGTAATTTGGTATGTAGCATCATGGGTATACCAAAGAGGCAACTTAGGAGTCTATAGGTGTGAACTTTAGGTTGACCTCTGACTTGATTAAGTCTCTTTAACTTCTGGCATTTCATCTCCACTAACTATAGACTAAGGACTGCTGAGGAATGAGGCATCTTCCCAGACAATTTATACACACTCACCCACCCACACTCACACACACTTAAACTGAGTCACTAAACTGTTCACCTGGCAATTGTGTTTTAGAACATGGGTATAATTCTGACCAGGTTCCAGGTCTACAGAACTACAGAAGCTGATGAAGAATTAAAGTTGTGGGCCCAGCCTCATGGCATAGTGGTTACGTTCAGCAGCCCTGGCTTGTAGGTTCTGATCCTGGGCACAGACCTACATGACTCATCAGCCATGCTGTGGCAGCCACCCACATACAAAATAAAGGAAGATTGGCACAGATGTTAGCTCAGGGCTAATCTTCCTCAAGCAAAAAAAGAGGAAGATTTGCAATAGATGTTAGCTCAGAGTGAATCTTCTTCAGAAAAAAAAAAAGAATTAAAGTAATTAAAGTAAAGATTGATTGGAAATGGTTCCATGATTGAATCTGGGGATGTTCTTCAAACAATTGTCGCCTTCCATTCCTGAAGAAAGCTTCAAGCTCATAATGCAACAATTTCCCCTTTCTTTCAGTTGGAATGTGGCTACGGCCTCTGGACCTTTTACTAAGCTCAAAAATTATGGGGCTCTATGTGGCCAATATGAGGAAGTGGTATACTTGGAGAAAATACCCAAATTTTGGTAGTTAGTGATCCTGTTTTATAACTTTTTGTTTGACAGTTTGAAAAGTGTTGTATAATTTTCACAGAATCAAAGAAATAAGAAACATTCAGGCTCTGTAAAAATGGAAACGGACATATATTCCTATGCCAATTTTTTTGCCTTTATCTTGCTCAAAATTCTGAGGCATAGCTACAAAACTACTTTTGGAAGTGAAATCAACAGTGTGTGCATGTGTGTGTCTCTGTGTGTGTGGTATATTAGATGGGCATGGGAGATCTCTTATAAAACCACTTCAAATGCTTTTAGATGGGATTAAGAATTGGTTGATTTGCTTTCATAGCAATTACAGAATTATTATCTAGACCATTAGTTTAAAAATTGCTTGATTATATGCTGTATTCTTGAGTGAGGAGAATTAGTTATAAAAGCAAAGTCTTTGATGGTTTTTGCTGGATAAATTATTTTATGGAATATTATGTAGTTTTTATATTTGTAATATTTGCTTATCCAACTGATTTTCCAGTAAATTTAGAAATGATCTACTACAGGGAAATCCTCCCTATTAAGTCATATGAGAAAAATATCTTACAAATCATGGCTTGCTGTTTGGAATTTTTTCCCTTTGGGGCATAACATGGCTTGTTATAATAAAGCATGTGTGATGGATTTTAGGATGACACTTTATTTTCTAGAGTGGAGCTCTTTTAAAAATATCTTGGGTATTAGGTTGTCTGTAGCTATAAATGTAATATATCAATAGACTTTTCTCTCCAAGGAGTGCAAAGTTCTTATAACATGAATAAATTGATTTACCCACACTATAGCAGGTAATGGTCAAATAGAAAAAGAAGGCATAATCAGCTTTCATTTCTTGTCGCTCGAATTAACCATGAGAAATCTGATATGTAAGGGGAAAAATGAACTCCCAACATTTATATGTTGGCTTCTATCCAATGATATGGAAGAACTTGACACACTCTTCAAATGAAAGTCCATTTTCTCATTCTTATTTGGGACGTCTGACTGTGTGGTCTTGGGTATTTTAGAATTATCTACAGCCACACTAAAAGGTACAGTAAGTGGATATGCTAGGGGAATGAAATTAGCAAGGCATTTCAGATTGGCAGAATGTAATTACTTACTTGAAATTTACCCAGGACATTTGCTGTTGACACATTCAGTTGGTGCAAAGGATCTTTAATTACCCAAAGCAACTAGTTTGTGGTTTCACATCTCAGTGGAAAGAAACCAATTCCTGGAGCAAGGCATTGTAAACACCGTGCAGTTCTGAAGCATTCTTTCTGATCAAAGGAAACCAGGATTACTTCTTATTAGAGAGGTCTGCTGCAAGGATGCTCAGTTATTTCTTAGAGCAGGAGTCCCCAGATAGTTTGTGAAGAGGAGCTAATTTTCCTTTCCTGGAGGCAGTGTGTAATAAAGTAAAGACAATGGGCTTTGAAACAAGACTGAGATTGTGGAAGTCCTAGGTCAACCACTTACCAACTCTTTGACCTTGGGTAGGTTATTTCATTTTCCCATATCTAATGCCTCAAAAGGAAAATGATACCTATATTGGAGATTAATTAGGATGGGGTTAAATAAGCTAACATATGTAAAATCTAGAACAGAGCTTGTCACACGATCAGAAATCAACAAATGTCAGTTCCTATCTGCAAAGCATGGTTGGTTGTGAAGGTTATATTCTGAGTGAAATATCTCCATGTGGATCAAAAAAGGGGGATTGCTGATGATTGCGCTTCCTACAAGGTGAGTTCAATGGGAAACCATGGAAATGAGTTTGGACCCCACTGTGTTGTCCCAGGAGTCATGGTAGAGAGGAAGAGGAAATAATAGTCCCTGTTTTGCTCTTTCTTAGCTACCTGGCTTTGGGCGAATTGCTTTATCCAATAATTAGTTGCTTCATCAGGCCGTCAAGACTAATGGTATTTTTCCTGCTTATCTCCCAGGGGTGCATGGAAAAAACAGGTACGTGAATATCCTTTCTGTTCTAGAGAGTGAAATCCAATCATGAAGACTGTGTTTTTCTCAGAAAGAGAGGAGACGTATCCATTCCTGTATATAAATAAATATATATGGGTCAGTTATTGTGCTAGGAACCAGTGGACAAAACAGATAGGATATGCTTCTTAGTATTATGGAGCTTAGAGTCATCTCTCTAGCCTTTTCTGAGACTTGCATAGTAGATATTCATGAATTATTTTTCCAAATTGGATTGAATTGAAATCTATCTGATAAGGCTCTGAGCTCTCCTGACTGGAACACCTGTCTTAGACATTTTCTGGGACAAAGTGGTCTAAATAAATACCATCACTCATCAAGCATTTCAGGTCAATTACATATTCAGGTGTGACTATTCATTAATGGGTTTTGAATCCCAGTGAAATCCATTTTTCTCTGTTTTCTCATCATTTCATTTATTTTAGATATAATTGTGCTTTTTTATTTGCTAGCAAGATTAATCCTACTCTCATTTTGTTGTTAGTGTTTGACTCATCTTTATATTTATATATTTATTAAAGTGCCTTATGTAAACTTAATTTGTTCTTTTTTGGAAATAGGAATAAAACCAGAGAGGCGAAAACTAATGTAAGAGTTGTCTTACCAAAACCAGGATCTAAAGTGTATGATAAGCATCCACCTTGGCTGGGCGATAGCGTGTATGAACCCAGAGCCATCTGAGTTGATTACGAGACCTTCTAGTATCTCATCAGATAAGGAAAGCAACAGATAAATTTATGTTACAATGGAACTACTGTTATTAGTATTAGTCTACAATGCCCATTTCAAAGAAGTATTCGTAAGCAAAACTGATGCAACAAAACTGCCCTTTTCCCGAGTATGAGTGGGCCTTTTAAACCAGAAGGATGCCCCGATTCTCAGGTTAAAGATATCTGCAGTTGGTGTTTTAGGAAAAGTTAAAGAATAGGGAGGAATATATCGTCCTCTTGTTTCCATACCCCCTCTGATGCTTTACATGGCTGGTTGGTTGTGCAATAACACCAACTGATGCTAAACTTCATTTGCTGCTTCTGGAGCCTAGCCACTTGGATCAATCACAGAAGCAATTGGATTGTGTCCTTGGACTGACTGGGGCCAGGGACCGTTTTGAATGACAACTTTCTAGTTGTGCAGGAACTGTAAAACTTATCCACAGAAGGCACGGTGGAAGTTACTGTGGTCAGGGCTACGAAGGATGTTCAGTGCACCTTGAGAACATCAGGGTTGAGGAATCCTTTCTGGGTTGTACTAGGGAAGCTATACATTAGATTCCTGCAATAGCAATGGCAGGAATTAGACAGTGCTTGTCTGATGACAAGAGACTGATGGTCTGAAAAGTCCACCTCAGCTGGAACTCTATTTTACCTGACATAAATAGCATCACCATGGTAACAGGTGTCTTTTACATTAAAAGTAGGAAATCTCCTTTTTAAGTGATAGATAATTAGAATTACTATCATTGTCTTAGAAAAAAAACATAAAAAGAGAAATATATCCTCGATAGTCTGGAAGATGGAAGACAGAAAATACACTAATGTCAAGACCTATTTTCATAACAGCTGTGCAACACTTAGGAAAGATTGTATGCTGTTGCACAAAGAACCTTCTAGACCTCTTGGTATATATAAAAATTGTATTGGAACAGTCAATGTCATATGTCAGTCTGGGCTGTTCATTTATTCACTCATTAAAAATATTGATTATTATACTCCAGGATCAATTTAGGATACATACATGTAGGTTAGGGTTGGTGCTTTCTCTATGACGTTTTAATAAAAGTGTCATTGCAATAGGCACACACCTCCACGTGGAAAGTCCTCCTTGAATGAGGACATCTTCAGCCCCAGAGGCCAACATCACTGGCTGCTGTAATTTCTGATAAAATGATTCTTTCTAAGTGGAAAGCTATGTTTTGTTTTGTTTTCTTAAGTTTACCTGCATTCAATAGTATTAAATGTTGACAATGAAGGACAATGTTTTATATTCTCCCAAAGTATATCTGCATCTTTTCAACTTTATACTTCAGGAGTCAGATACAAATATATGTTCAATTCTAACATTCCTTTGAATCCTAGCTGTGGGGATATAGATTTTATACAGTTTATGATTGTATACTTAAGCAGTGTATACAATTGTGTATTGTGTTTCGAATCCTCCCATTGTGTTGACTGTTGGAGTCCAGAGAGAGTCCATCAGTAGCTTCTTTGTTTTTAATTCATCTCTTTCCCTCCACTTATTCAGTTATCCAGTGCTCACAAAAGAAAGTGGATTATTAAGGACCAATTTGTTTTGCTGGAAACTGTGTAATGGATAGCTTTAGGAAATTACAAATTGATGATTTACTGATGTCTACTTTTTAAGTAAAGTTGCAATATGAGGTTTTTATTTCTATTGTTCCTGCACCCAACTCCTCAAGGTATCTGAGACTTTTCTTGCTTGCTATAAATTCTCAAGAAAATTGAAACAAAAACAGAAGCAAAAATCCAGACCAATTTCATTGGTTCTGCACACTTTTAGCCCACAGTTTTCATTTGATTACTTTGCCAATTAAGCAAATGTTTTTAGAAACTTTTATTTTTACAATTCTAATTTGCTTCTTAATTCTCCCATAAATGTCCAAAAGATGCTAATTTACCCTGATTTGGATACCAAAAGGATAGCACGCCCAAAATATAACAGAATAACATTTTTGTGTTTTATCTTCTCCCACCCTATAGAAACATTAACCCTTCTGATTTTCCCCAACAAAAACCTATATTCCCCCCAGGGATTGTCTCAAGTTCTCTCTCCAGATCAATTGTTTTCAAATCTAGGCTAATACCTAGAGGATGCCTTAAAGATTCAGATTTGCAGGACTCCAATGCAGATTTACCAAGTCTTTGAGAGTGTGGCCAAGAATTTTATTTTTCAAAGCTCCTAGGAAATTTTGATGCAGTTCATTTATGGAATGTCAATTGCCCTTGATTTCTCACTACTCATTTTTACCATTTTCCATGAGCATAAACTTGGCTGCCATTTATTCTCTTTCTATGCCCCACTCAATGGTATTCCAATGACTTCTGCTCTTCCTGATGCTCAATGTCTTTCATGAATCCTCCTCTTTCCACTCTTGGATGGGTCGTCTCACAGCTGAGGCCAGTACCTTTTTCTCATGTCCCAGTGGATGCCAGCAGTCCTTCAACGATAATTCCCTTTCCATTACTTTATTCCTGTGGGCACTTGATAACTTGTAGAAAATTCAGTGAACCATCCTCTCTCTTTATATTTTCACCATCTACTTTTTCTTCATCTGGTCACACTCTCTGGTAGAAAGAAGTAGGATCAAGAAAGAAGTTTAATAGGACACACTTGAAATTATTTCCTCCTTCAAACACTGAGTTTTCTTATCTTACCTCCAGAGATTTGAGGTAGATGGATTAAAACAAGTTGCTCCTGATGTGTTTATCCAGCCCCATGCCAGGGCACAGTGTTTGATGAAGGGAGCTTGGGCAAAATTTCAGCCTCTAGTCTTCTCTTTCGGTAGATGCTCAGGTGCATTGCACAACTAGCACAACCATAATGGATGTCCAGACCTCCTGTTGCTGGTATAAATGATTTCCCAGGAGGCTACTCTGGTCTTTGTACAAAATTTACCATAGATAGGGTAACCCATCCAGACCATGATAAGGCTGTCTGAATACTGGTGACACTGCTGAGACTCCCACTGGGGCCTCTGCTGGAAATAAATAATGTGTTTCAGAGTATGTCTATTAAATGTAGTTCATATTTGTATTTTTGTAAGCATAGAAGTTACAAAAAATATTTAAACTATTTGTCTTTTTTAGGCATTTTTCAGTTGACCTCCCTACTTATCTTATGCAGAGATAAATGCCCATGAAGAACTCCTCTTTACTTTTATTATTTTGATTGTATTTTCTTTTTTTTCTTTCTTACAAATATTTTACTTTTTGTAGTTGTTACTGCACCAGGTGTGTTTTTGCCCACCACCCAGAAAGCCAAACACTGAGATGATGATATTGCATCAGAGAGAGGGTTTTAATCATAAGATAGCCATGTGAGTAAGTGAGAGAATGAGTTTCAAATGCGCTTCCCTGAAAATAGGGACTCAGGGACATTTATGGGATGGGGGGGAAGGTGTTCTGAAATGTGGAGAGAGGTGATTAGAGGTGAGGAGAGGTGAGATAATTGATGATCTGTGCAAGTGTAGTCAGATTTCGTGACTCTTCACAGGACATGTGTTCACAAAATGGCAGTGTGAGTGTGATCTGAGGGTAGAGTTTTTAGCCTCTTGATGTCAAAAGGTCACTTATCTGCATGGGCCCACTTGATGAGTTGTTGGTTTCAGTCAGCCTGAAGTGGACAAGGGGTTCTAATTCCTGAAAAACAGCTCACACACCCATTACCATGGTTGTCCAGGCTCCAGGAAGATGTTATCTATAGGAACCTAGTGGGAGTCAGATAGGATATTGCCTAAACAGCACAATTAACAATGGGTGGGTAAAGAGCTAAAAGCTATAATCAGTAATTGCAAAAAGGAAAAAACCTGTAGTTCCTAGCTACTTAATCATGAAAGGCTAACTGTTTGTCAGTTTCAATCACCCTATTCTTTGGTCATTCCTTATTCTTAAGGGATTTGGGGTGATGACCCATCTAGCTACTTTCTGCTGCATTGGGGTGTAGATGTGGGTTAGAGGAATGAAACTGTTTAGAATATTTGGAAATATTCTCTTGTTCCTGGGTTCAGGTTGACATTTTGCTTTATTAGAATTTTGTACCTTGCTCAACAGTTTTGCAACAGCATCTAAAGGCACATTTTATAATCAAGTATTAGACCAGAAGGATAAGTATAGACAGCCCAAATTTTAGCAGTCCCTGAAAAATAGACCTAATCCCAGTGGGGCCTCCATCTGATCTCCAGGTGGGGTCAGACATCTGGTCTTCGTTCCTGATAGTCTTTTGTTTTGCTGG